TTGGGAGCCTGGCTGGCTCAATAGCATGCAACTCTTGATCTTGGAGTCCTGAGTTTGAGCCCCATGTGGGGTGTAGAGATTACTTAAATAAAACTAAGATAATGTATCAATACTGTTTCATTAACTTGAACACTTGTACCATACTGGTGCATGACAATAATAGGGAGAACTAACATCATGAATTTTCTGTAACGCTAAGGCTATTCTAAACAAGTTTTTTGTTTTTATTGTGGAAGAGGTCTAGGAGGTAGTATGAGGTCAGACCATATCCCCTTGTCAGTTCAAGTAGTCCACAGCCTGGCCTCCCCAGCCTGTCTCTTTCTTACACCCTGCTGGATTCACCTTCCTCAAATTTATCTTCGGTTCTTGTACCCAAAACTGTGTCAAACACTGGGTAATATGCGAGTCTCTTCTAACTCTAACCAACCTCCCTTAACGGCTTCCTCAGCCCCCTCCCTAAACTCCAGTGGAAACCATGTCCATCCACCTCCATGCCAGCTATCTGCCAGGGCTTCCAACCACGGCTGCTCTGCCTTCTTACATCCGAATCCTTCTCCTTCAAGGTCCTCCTGAAATCCCATTCTGTTGGTTAAGACCATCTACATCCTCATCCCCGCCAGCCCAAGGATTTCTGTCCTTCCCAAACCCGCAGTGCTCTTCTGTTCAATGCACACTACCTTCCTGAACAAGGCACCAACCCCCCACCATTCACTTGTTTTATGCTCTTGGGCAAACCCACTATCCCCTGCTACAGAAAGGTATAGAGGGGAGGGAAAGAATGAACTTCACAGGTGGGTATTCATCTTGGAATGTTAAGTGCTTTGCATAGAAGAACTGACGTTTCCTGAGCACCTCGGTGGCACAGTCACTTTATGTGGGACAAGCGAATTTTTTTATTTTTTATTGGGAAACCAATGTAACAAACCTAGACTTGTTGAAAATGAAATCAGTAACTAAGACTTTGCAGGCCCCATCCCCAGCCAGCACCAAGGCCTCTGCCTGGCCTGACCCCAGTTCCTCAAGCCCCCAAAAGGACAACCATGTTGAGAAGCTGAGGTCAACTTCAGGGCTAGTTTCCCACACTGCAACCCCCTCAACCCCACCCTCCATTGACACACATACCCTGGATCTGCAGTCTGGGTCTAGGCCCAAGGAGGGTACAGTGAGGTTCCCAGGGTGGCAGGGAATCACGGCCACACCCCAACCTGCTCAAATCCCAAGTTAGCAAAGGAAGACAGAAAAAAGACTGGCGTGCCTACCCACTCCCCCCTCCCCAGCCACCCCAGACAACAGCCTCACATCCCTGATCAGTAACACTGTGATTCTGAGGTGCCAATGGGGCTCCCAGTGGCTTCACCAGACCCTGGGTGATTACTGCAAAGGGCTTAGAGCCCAGGGGAGGGGACAGGCATTGCCCCACCACCTGCTCAGTATTAGCCAGCTAAGCTCCTGCCCTAAACTTGTGCCTGGGGTGCCTGTAGCCCCTTTCCCCTCCAGACATCCATGGCTCGGAACCAGTCCTCCTGCTAGAGAGAAATCAGTTCCAGGAGGCCCTTTCTCCCCCAGCCCGGGAGGAAGGATGGCCTGTGAGCTGGCTACACCAGCTTCTTCGCTTCAAAGAAGCTCTTGAGGTGTCGCATCTGCCAGACGCCGATGGCTACGAGGATGAGGGTCTGCAGAATGGACCACCACAGCACCCGCTGGTTGGTGCTCTCGCTGGTCTGCCGGAAACGCTCCTCTCGCCACTGTGGGAGGGGAGAGCGGAAGAGGAGCTTAAGTTTGCTGGGCACCACCTGGCGCCACTCTAACTGCTGGGTTCCCTTTGCAGAGGATGCCCCAGAATCAAGGAGCTATGCCCAGGTTCCAATCAAGTGTCTGCAAAGAGCCAGAGACCCCATCTGGGGACTGTATTCATCCTCCCCAGCCAGATGACCCACTCATTTAAGTCTGTTTGCTTGGGGGTGCCTGGCTGGCTCAGCTGGTAGAGCATGCAACTCTTGGGGTTGAAGCTCCACACTGGGCATGCAGCCTACTTCAAACCAACCAACCAACCAACCAACCTCTGTCTGCTCATGTGTCAGGTACAGTCCTCCCCTGGTCCTCTCCTAGAGCCAGTGGGGGGAGGGAGGGCGGGGGGGAGGGGAGGTGAAGTGCCAGTAGTATCACCCCATCAGACAGAGCTGCCCTATAGCACTCAGGAGTGCACGTGCTCTAAGCTCTCTGCCCAGGTCTTCCCCAACTGCTCCTCGAGGATTGTGGGCACAAGTTGCAAACTGGTGGCCCAGTGGCTGGATGTGTTTTGCCAATAGTTAAAACCTGGTAAAAATTCACATCAAAACACTTGATCTCTAGCTCCTCTTAAAAGCCAGGGCTAGCGTATCTATCTGCAAGGCTACCCTGGGTTGACAATTAACCGAGGCCACTGAGGATTAGACACACAACAGTCCTTATGGTCACAGATTCATTCATGGTACCGCCTGGCTCCTGGACACAAATGAGTTTGAAACAGCTGGTCCTGGAAGCACCTGGAGCCATGGAAATAACACCCAAGGTATTAATATCAATTCCCGCTCTGTCACTGTGTACATGTAACTGGGATTTAGAGCAATGATGGCCTCTCAAGAGCCTGTCTCCTTGGTTACACACTGGAGTTAGTGATCCCCACCCCACCTTTTAGACTTGCAAAGCGGCACAGTTAAGTCCCTTGGCTTTCATAATGAATCTGACACACATGCCACTCCTGGCTGAGCCAGGGGAAGGCTTCTGGGAAGAAGCCCACCCAGGAGCTCCTGGCCCAACCACATACCCGTTGGTAGTTCTGCTCTTTCTGGATCTGCTCCACTTGCTCCACCAGCTGTCTCACTCGTAGCTGCAGCTCACTCAACTTGTCTTTGGCGGCAATTTCTGCGTAGTCGTTGGCGTGTTCACCCACCTGGATGTCCAGGTGAACTCTCTGGGGACAGACAAGGGAGAGAAAAAGAAATCGGGCAGCCCTGCTCCATCTTCCTGCCAGGCACTGACAGCTGGTCCCCCTACCTTCCTTCATTTGTGCATTTCGTCCAGTGCTGAGGCCTCCACAGTGTCCAGCCCTATGGGGCTCTAGGCAAACAGGCATGAATAAACTTGGCTGACACTTGGACCAAGGCACATACAAGGAGTTCAGGGACTGTGCCCAGATGTTCAGCGAAAACCCAAATTATCAGGAGACACAAAATCCGACACACTCATCTCACACCCAAAGCACCGCCAGTCTCCAGGCCCCACCAGGGTTTAGAGGTTGAAAGCTACGAGTCCCATGTGGGTCCACTCACCAGCATGCCTCCAGCAAAAAGGGAGAACTTGGTGGAATTGGAGTGAAGACAGATCTGGTGTTCGCCGGGGGTATGGGAGGTGAAAGTGAACCTGCCTTCAGAGCCATACTGCCGGGCCAGGATCACCTGGAGACAAAAGCCTTCAGTGAGTGTTATAGAAAGGATGGGGCTGGAAGGAAAGAAGTCTTAAGGCTCTCTGAGCCTCAAAAGTTAGCCAACAGAGACATAGGCACCCCACACACTAAAAGCTCCAAAGCTGCTCGGCGGTAGTTGCCAAAGCTTATCTGAGAACTTCTGGGGGCAGGGGTGAAGAATCTAAAATGAAGCTGACGTGGGCCTGCGGTTGGAAAGGGCTCTTTATTCAGAGCTCCTGCCATTTCAACTCTTTTTTGTGTGTGGTTCTTTTTTTTTTTTTTTT